ATTGACCAGTAAAAATTTAAGCGATAGCCTGAGTGGCCAGTGAAAAAAAAAGTAATTATTTTTAGTCCTGGACCTGTTATAAGATAAATAAACCATCCTGATCAGTGGCGGATCCAGGAATTGCATAACAGTAGAAGGCAGGGGGTATGGGGGACTGCATTGACCCCCAGTGGGTCTAGGGCAAAGCCCTGGTGGGGGCCTGGAAGCTGATGAATTCTTACAAATAAGAGATGTTTTTTCCTTGATTTTAGGATAATGGACATAAAATTTCTACATACAAAAAATTCAAAAGGGGGGGGGGGGGGGCTGGCCCTGTATCCACCTTTGCTGATAGAGATTTCCAAAGTTTCTCCAAATATGTTGTTGAAATCCATTTTATTTGTTTTCAATCTCTTATTTGCTATGACATCTCAACCACACATACATGATGACACAGCCTATTCACACTGTGTTACGAAAATACAAACAATTAATGAATAAAGGTAAAGGGAAAATCAAAGAAAATGTAACAACAGAAAATTCAATGTTTTGTAGTTGTATATGGAATTTATTTCAATCATGAGACAGGATTTTTTTTTAAAAATAGATTTTCATTTGTGTTTTCAAAGACACTTGTGAAAATATAAAAAAAAATCCTATCCCACTAGTGAAATAAATTCCATATTCAGCTACAAAACATTAATCATCCGCTATGTATCATGATACACTGGAACTGCATCTCAGTATTGTGATAAATATTGTGAGATTTCACCTTTCATACATTTTTGCATAATTTGTGTCAATCTGTTTTGTAATGTAACTTTCCATCACAATGTGAAGGGATCAAATGAGTATATTATTTCATCAAGCTTTAACATTTTATAATCTTTGAACCACAGCAATGAACAGCAAAAGTAAATTAAAAAAATATATATCTTCTATATATTTATTACATGTAGGTTAAACTATAAAAAAAATTAACATATAGGCCTATGACTTAAGGACTAGAACGGCGCACTGTAATGGACATCATGTGCCTTCCTTTAATATTTCTAAGATAGATCTAACATAGATGCAGATGTGCAAACTGGTTTTTTTTTAGATATGATACACGTATGTATACAAACCTTGATCATGATCAATGTTAACAGGAGTTGCACTGGCGGAGTAATTGTGGTCTCTAAGAATAGCTCCCCTAATCCATCGGGTCAATTGCCCTGCAGATACTTTTTCATATCTCTCCTTCTTCGTTTTCGAAACGAACCCATGGCGTCTGTACTTTGGTTTCACCATCTTAACCAAAGTTTACGCGCCGAACGTTACTTCACGTCTGCTTTTTACTTACATTATCGTAATCCGTCTCACATGTCTTAATTTTCCGCGAAATATAAAATAGTTATTATATGTTTTCTTCTGGCACAAAAATCAATATTATGTTACTTTCTACGGATAATTATTATAATTACTTAAAATAAACTATTATTTTTCTGTCATACTGAATTCTTTATTAAAACGACATTCAGACCAATTTCCGGCAGTTCGAGTTGCGCGGTGTATTCAAATTCGTCAGAAGCGAAACACCTTAATACTTTTGACAATTGATTTTAATTATTAGGCTTTATTATGTATGTGTGTTTTTCTGATATTATTCAAAAATCAAAGGTTCACACTTAAAACTGCGCAAATTTAGTTTCCACATGAACTCTCACCTAACACTGTAACACTGTTAAAACGAAAGTAGATATTTTAGGCTGGTTACATGCTCATGTGTTAGTAAGATTTCCATTCATATTTCCTCAGGAGATGTATCTAAAGAAAGTGAAAAAAATAAAGCTACATAGATCAAGTAACTCGTACCAGTGTTAGTACCTTTGTATTTGAACAAAATCAGAAGTATGCGTTCCATTTGTCCACTGTCGCCATATTTCTTCCCAAATGTAGAGGATATCCTAATCTATAAATAGAATGTAGGGGCGGATAACTTGAAACTTGTGAAACATTGCAATGTTTACTGACAAATCGAAATATTAAAATTTAAACCCTTTGTTGAGTAGTGATGTGCTATTTAAGAAAAAAAAAAGGAATTAAAAAAAAATAAATTTAAAAAATATTGTATAATTAGACTGAATGACTCTGTACGCTTAAGTTGGGGTGGATCAAACATTTTGAACAATGTATATATATTGATCGATTTAATTTTTGTAAGTGATAGTAAATCTGTTAAATAAAGTCTTAAAGACTGATCAGAACAAAGCAATGTGTCTTGAGAACTTAAGAAAGTTAATATTAACATTAGTGATCTTATGTTTAATATCATTATGAATATTTAATGATCAAATTCAGTTGAGCTTATTTAGTAGCATCCCTTAGTAAATACCACGAAATCCACTTCTCTTAAAAACGAAAGTGGACATTCCAAAGCTTCCTGTTTCAAAATGGATAGGTAAGAATCATTGCAAGCACTGTCTATAAACAATATATTTGTTATATTTAACAGAAAATTTAAGGTAGTCCCATCCACAGGTTCTGAAAATCAGCCTTTTAGTAATTGAAAATGCTCTCAAAAATGTCTCTGATTTCACATAGTAACGTGAATTTACCCATGGTATTTCTTCAAAGTTCATCATTATAACTTAAAATCATATCATATAGGGAAAATGATCAAATCTCTTGAAAATACATTTTCAGGAAATGCGAATAAAAACACCAGCTATGCATTTTCTAATTAAAACATAGGTAATCAAAGATTACGAAGCTCACCTCGACGGATGTTATGTATAAGTAAGCCAGTGAGAATGCATTAATTATACAGATGCCTTTGTGCTATACTGCAATCACAGGAAGGTGAAATTTTTGATACAATCAAAAAAACATAAACAAGTAATTACATATGAAAATAACAAAAGCCATTCAGAGTTGATAGAAAAGTATAACTTATTATGTCCCCATAGGAATGCATCATCCATGCACGTTTGGTCAAGGTAGGGCTTATAGTTACTTAAATTGGGAATGGACCTGCTTCAACGTGTTCAAAATCTTAACCTGGTCACTCGTGTGGAAAATCTAGCTCAGATCTCGCATCCGAAGCAAGTGTGGTAGTGTCCATCCCTAGAAGCATAATCCAAGTAAGTTTGGTCAAGGTAGGGTTTATAGTTACTTGGGATAGACCTGCTCCAAAAACTTTAACCTGGTCACTCATCTGGAAAATCTACAAGTGTGGTAGTGTCCATCCCTAGATGCATCATCCATGCAAGTTTGGTCAAGGTAGGGCTTTTAGTTACTTGGGAATGGACCTGCTCCTAAAACTTTAACCGGGACGCCGACGCCGGGGGTATAGCATAAACTCATCTCGACTTCGTCGAGGTGAGCTAAAATGATCAACAAATATAATTTAGGATAAAAACATATAGGTATCCAGGCATTTGAAGAAAATTGCATTGTTTTTATGCTTATACAGTATTTTAGTTATTCTCTTTACTTCAATTGTTATATAATACATAGTGTAAAAAGCTTGTGCTATCATTGCTAGACATCACGTATCATGTCTAATTTCATATCATGCTAATAAGAATTGGTTTCTAATGCTAGATTAAAGGAAATTCGATTTCTCTAAAAATAAATTTATTTTTTTTCTTTTATGGGGTATAAATGTCAACTTTTTACAAGACCGTTTCTAAGACTTCAAAGAACCTTGAATCATATTGAGATGCATTAAATGAAAATTGTTGCACGACAAGATCTCAATTTCAAGCTTCATTTTGAGACTTTTTAAATAAAATAATAAATTCCTGGCTGAGGATCGGATATCCTTAAAATTTTTTATTTGAAAGTTAGTAACATCAAAAGGTGTGAATTTCCTACACTTTATATAACCATTCCTCAAGATAAAATAAAATTTTGTTCTTTGATATCGTAGACAATTGCTTCTTCAGTAAGAAATGGAACTCTCAAATTTTCATATTTTAATCAACAAAATTACTTTGTTTTAAATCACTGTGAATGATCCTGGAGACCTTACACTTCTGCCATCTCCAAAAGTTTCAGTCCCCCAGGGTTCTTATTATTGGAAATCTAAAAAACTTAACTAAGTTTAATAAATAATTATAAAAGAAACTTAGAAAACTAATAAAAGAGGTGGTATCAGAAAAGCAGATGAAAGACACCTAAAAAATAAATGAAATACTGCAGAGTAAAAACTGTTATAAGTAAATAAATAATAATAAAAAGAATAAATAAAATACAAAAAATAAATGTTAATTTTATACAGTATCAGTTTGGATACACCAGATGCACATTTCGACAATGTTGGAAATCTGAGATATTTAATTAAAAAAAAACTTTGAAGAGCTGAAAAAGGAGTGCCAAAGAAGGGAGCCAATTACGTCGAATGATCAGAGCTATGCATGAGGGAGATAATCCGTAATTTTGAAATAAATTTCTAAATTTTATCACAACAATTAAATATATATCCGTATTTTCAAGCTAGTACCGACGTATTTAGCTACTTGGCTGTAGAGACCCTCGGGAACTAACAGTCCACCAGCAGAGGCCTCGACCCAGGGGTCATAATGTAAATCATATACGGTACCAATTTGGATGCACCAGGTGAATAAATAAATATTGTCTTATCAGCTATGCAACCCCCACGCTGTGGCTTCTGAAGGAACTGCATTTGCATTTTTCACCGTGTCAATGAAAGTTTTAGATTGGTTTAATACATAGGGCTTACAGACCGGTCGATAGAGGATGCTTACTTCTCCTAAGCACCTGATCCTACCTCTAGAATTTCCAGGGGTCCGTGTTTTATGCCCTGTTCACATATTTGTATTGTTTGTAGTATTTTTTTTGTTCGATTACTGTTAATTTTTATCGCCTTTTTCATTATATGATCTGTAGGCATCCGTTCCTTGAGCTCATAATTAAGATGCCTTCAAAGTTAAATAAACATGTTTATCATATGCAAAAAGGAAACCGACAAAGTTTCAACTGAAATAACTCTTTTTTTCCCTTTTAACCAGAACTCAAACAATGACACAGTCTTTGACAACACCAGAGAAGTTGTTAGTTGCTGCAATAGATTTTGGAACAACTTTTTCCGGATACGCTTTCGCTTTCCGAAATGACTATGTCAAAGATCCCCTCAAAATCCACGGTAACCAATGGACAATTGGTTCTCAAGCCGGGGTGTCCCTCAAAACCTCGACCTGTGCGCTGTTTAACCCACAGGGTGAGTTCGATTCGTTCGGGACACAGGCTGAGGATAAATACAGTGACCTTGCTCTTGAGGAACAGCATCACGACTGGTACTACTTCCGACGCTTCAAAATGATCCTCTACAATAACCAGGTAAATGCCTTAACACAAAGCCGTATCCACAGGGGAATATTTGTACCCCTCCCAAGCATCTGATCCCTTTCTGGTGTTTCCAGAGATCAATGTTCTTACCCTATTCACGATTTTGTTCACAGGATTTTGAGGATTTTCTTCACCCTTTTCATCAGAAGAGAACTTCCTTGAAAATATATTTAGATACACCGAATATTGAGACATCATATTCTCATAAGAGGAATTTTGATTTATCCAAAGTCTTTCTTTTTGTATTCAATAAAAAGAATACGGAAAAGTTATTTTATCATTTGTGTTTTTTGATAATAACTCTACAATCTGCTAAATGACAACATTTCAGACCGTGGCTCGGGACCTTGAGATGGAAGATGATAAAGGCAACAGACTTCCAGCCATGAAAGTATTTTCAGCCTGTATAAAGTATCTCCGCCAACACATGATGGAGGCCTGCAGCTCTAGACGAGTGGATATTGAAGAAGACGAAATGCAGTGGGTGCTGACAGTGCCTGCTATCTGGACGGATAGTGCCAAACAGTTCATGAGAGAGGCTGCTATGAGGGTAAATCAGATACAAGTATTGAACCATGATAACAATTGACATCTTTTAAAAGTTCCTTTTGTTTGGTTTTATGTAAAAGTTTTTTCTTGTTTGGTATTTTGTATATCTTTGATTTGTTTTTTTTTAATATTAATCTGTTAGGCCGGTATTCGGAGTGATTTGCTAGTCATCGCATTGGAACCAGAGGCGGCATCTATTTATTGCAAGCACCTGCCAGTTAATAAGATAGAAGGCAATAACAAAAAGAGTTTGGACTCTTTTTCTCCTGGAACGAAATACCTTGTTTTAGATGCTGGTGGTAATGTCTTTTAGATCAAAATACAGTTTTCAATCGATTTTTTTAAAGTCCTATGACATTGATAATTACATCTGAACACATTTTTAACATAGGTGGTACTATCGACATAACCGTACAAGAAGTTCAACCTGGTGGTCTTCTACGGGAGGTTTACAAAGCCAACGGCGGGGATTGGGGTGGAACAAAGGTGGACGAGGCTTTTATGGAGTTTCTCGGAGACATCGTTGGAGAGGGTGTTATGAACCGCTTTAAGACAGAACACCGGTGTGATTATGTTGAACTCTGTCGTGACTTTGAGATCAAGAAAAGAACAATCACACCAGAGATGGACCAGAAAATCACATTCAAAATCCCAATAGCTATCAATGAGCTTTACCAAGAGATGAAAGGAAGATCTTTACGGGACTCTTCTACCATGGGAAACAAGTACGGAAGCCGCATTGCCTGGATAGGGGACAAACTAAGAGTAGACTCAGAGATAGCTAAAGGTTTATTTAAGGTGACATGTGCCTCGATTGTGGAACATGTTTACATGATTTTCCAGCAAGAAGAGGTTGATAATACGGAGACAATTCTGATGGTAGGTGGATTTTCGGAGTCTCCTATGCTGAGAGCAGCAGTGAAAGAAAGATTTCCCGACAAGAGAGTCATCATTCCACAAGAGTCTGGATTATCCGTTCTTAAAGGAGCAGTACTTTTTGGCTTCAACACCACAGTTATTGCGTCTAGAATCTGCAAGTATACGTACGGCATACGCGTCCGTGATGATTTTCGTAGAGGTATCGACCCCGAAGAAAAGAAAGTAATAGTTGAAGGAAGGGCACTTTGCGAGAAAAGATTTAGCAAGCATGCAGAGGCAGGACAATCAGTGGATGTTGATGAAGCCACTGAGGAACTCACTTATCGACCGTCAGAGCCCGACCAAACCAAAGTTCTTCTTTCAGTTTTTGTCACAGAATGTCTGAATCCGGAGTATACAGACGAGGACGGTTGTAGTTGTTTGGGAAGCCTCTCTGTGGACATACCCGACACAACTGGAGGATTAAAACGCACCATTGGCGTCCAGCTGATTTTTGGAGGAACAGAATTGTCGGTTAAAGCACGCATTCTGAAAACTGGTGAAATAACAAGTGCTACGTTGGACTTTCTCAACCATGAAATGTAACACTTAAGTAAAACATTGGACGCATACCAAGTATAAGAAGACAAAAATCATATTGTTAAAAATGTATGTTTGTTCATTTCTGATTTATGTAAATGTGATAGAATATTGATGTGTTGTTATACCGGTACAAATAATTGTAACATATAAAAATTAATGCATGTTCATTTCTGATTTAAACATTCTGATAATTGTAATATGACAGCTAGGACTTACACATAAAGATATACAGATATAGGAAATAGAAAGGGCTTTGGTGAATAATGATTTTTTTTTCAAAATTAAAATGATTTTTTAGTTCTATGGGAATAAAATATCCATTGAATATACATGATCTACATACTCTCTCCATTAACAGATTACCATTTGGTCCAATCAAATTATATAACCCGCAAAACAAGAATTCAAAATCAAGGTTTTAAGTTCAGTGTTCTAAAAACTTGAAAAGGGATATAAATCTGTTCATTATATTGATTAAATTAAGTTGTAAAGTTAATTTTATACCCTATTTATCATGTACTTTTCCAACCCCCCACCCACTCATCCCATCCCCGATAATTGCCCTCTTGAAGTAAAAGAACTGTTTTATTTCAAAACAATCTATTAGGAGATCGCAGAAATGAAAAACGATGCATTAGAAATGATGAAATGCTGATTACGTGGACAATAAGCACTCCTTTTCATGTGTTTCCTAGTAAAGGTGCCATATATGAACTTTTCACTCTTTCAGGAACAGCTTTATTTAAAAATACACAGAAAATCGTTAACTTGATGATTGCAACAATGTTTAGTCTAAATTCTACCTTTTAAGTCTAGTTTTTTTTTTTTCTCCTAAGCAAGCGATTAATTTCCATAGCCTTAAATCACAGACGAAACGGTCATCTGTAAAGGTTTCTTAACAGAAAGAAATGAACATGGACCGTATAGGCAGCTAATTCCATTATTTATTTATTATATACATGTAATTAATATTCCAATATCACCTACAGATATGGTGTTTATGTCCCCGAACTTATTCGATACTCAAGAGCATGTTCTGAGTACAATCAAATTTTAAAACTGAGGCAGGTACTGACAGATAAGTCAATGTTACAGGGATTTCGACAACCTCGTCATTTGCAGGTGATTGTGGAATAGTACTACGATAGATGTACATAAATAAGGAAAGTTGACGATGGAAAAGTTGAAGTCATCTCCTTTGTCATACAGTTTAGTTGTTAGTTGAAACTTGCCGGGTAATAGTCAGTAAAACATCCCAATTTGAAACAGGTGTGGCAGATTCTGTGGTGTACTTCATTTCGAGTTGCGACATATGAATGAAAGTAACCATACAATGCTTTAACTGTTGCATGGAAAGGGAGATAACCCGGAAATATAGTGACTGAGTACCGACTTTGTATGGATGGATAACTAAATTCCGACTCTACTCAATCACCAGTTTCTCACAATGATATCAATATTGGGGTAGAGCTTTGATATTACGAGACAAGCTCAAATATGCCTCATTATTAAATAGTAAATACCTAAAAACATCAGTATATCAAAGGAAATATTTAATATAATTTTAATGTTTAATTCGAGTTGGAAGGTATTGTACACATGCAGTGGTAAACGTAAAAGCGGAGCAGTCGGTAACCTGGCATACCAATGAGCCTGTGCCCTCTCTGACACTAGACTGAAGCTAGCAGCCAATAACAGCAGCCATTAAGCCCGTAGAAGCTAGCAGCCAATAAGGAAATTCATCAAAGGACTGAGAATACTCTGACGCAATACTGTTTAATGCCTCATTTCGACAATTTATAATTGATAATTAGATAATTAATGCAACACTTTATTATTTAATAATTCAAACACTTGGAGGCAGTTAATCTCACCTGCATAAGGAAAATTATGCGGTTTCAAAAACAACAAACAAACAAACAAACAAAAAAAGAGAAATTGTCACCATCTTTGACCGCTTAAGAACAAACCAACATTGGAAATAGGTTAAGTACTTCCGGGAGAATCCCTTTTAAGCTCTTTTACGGGTCTCAGGAACATGATGGTGCCAAAAGGCTAACCTGAAATTTGCTTACTCCTAATATTTACATTGATAAGGGTTTGAAGGTAATTTAATCTATTTTAAGTTATTATCCTTGAAATGTGCTTCGAACAATTACTGGCACAAAGTAAAGGGTCCACAGGGCTATTATATACGGCCATGAAAATTAGGCTGAAGTGGTACCACCAAGTGGTGCCAAAGGTGGGTTACATATTTCAAGCAGCTATCATACCTCTTATCTTATAAGAGTGGTGTGCTTTAAATCATTACTGTGGCAAGATAGGTTTCTAGGACTATCATTTCCCGAAATCGGTATGAGGCTGTAGTGGCACCACCAAGTGGTGCCAACGGTGGGGAACATATTTGAAGCTTTCATTTTTCAACCATCATTGACCACTAGAACAAACTAACACTAAACTGGAAAAAAGTTAAGGGCCTTAGGGAGTATCCCTTGTCAACTTTCAATGACTAGAAAAGGCCAGTTAGGTAACCTGAACTTTGTTGTATTTCACTTTGTCTATTGATATATGGATTAAAAGTCAGATGTTATTCCCCTTATCTTTGAAGTGTGCTTCAAATCATTACTGGGGCAAGGTAGAGGGCCCCTAGGACTATCATTTCCCGCTATCAGAATGGGGCTGTAGTGGTACCACCAAGTGGTGCCAAGGGTGGGGGACGTATTTCAAGCATTCATTTTGAAAGCATCTTTGGCTACTAGAACAAAGTAACACTAGTAAAAGGCTAAGGACCTTAAGGAGAACCACTCACCTGGTTTTTGAAGGGTCCCTGGGAAAGGAAGGGGCCATTTAGCTAACCTGAACTTCGTTGTTTTTCACTTCATGTTTTAATATACGGATAAAGGTCAGCTATTATACCCCTTACCTTTGAAGTGTGCTTCAAATCATTACTGGGGCAAGGTAGAGGGCTCCTAGGACTATCATTTCCCGCTATCAGAATGGGGCTATAGTGGTACCACCAAGTGGTGCCAAGGGTGGGGGACGTATTTCAAGCATTCATTTTGAAAGCATCTTTGCCTACTAGAACAAAGTAACACTAGTGAAAGGTTAAGGACATTAGAGAGAACCACTTGCCTGTTTTTGAAGGGTCCCTGGGAAAGGAAGGGGCCAGTTAGCTAACCTGAACTTTATTGTTTTTCACTTCATGTTTTAATATACGGATAAAGGTCAGTTATTATACCCCTTATCTTTGAAGTGTGCTTCAAATCATTACTGGGGCAAGGTAGAGGGCCCCTAGGACTATCATTTCCCGCTATCAGAAAGGGGGCTGTAGTGGTACCACCAAGTGGTGCCAAGGGTGGGGGACGTATTTCAAGCATTCATTTTGAAAGCATCTTTGGCTACTAGAACAAAGTAACACTAGTGAAAGGTTAAGGACCTTCGGGAGAACCACTTGCTAGGTTTTTGAAGAATCCGTGAGAAGAAAAAGGGTCAGTTAGCTAACCTGAACTTTATTGTTTTTCACTTTGTGTTTTAATATACAGGTTAAAGGTCAGCTATTAAACCCCTTATCTTTGAAGTGTGCTTCAAATCATTACTGGGGCAAGGTAGAGGGCCCCTAGGACTATCATTTCCCGCTATCAGAAAGGGGGCTGTAGTGGTACCACCAAGTGGTGCCATAGGTGGGGACGTATTTCAAGCATTCATTCTGAAAGCATCTTTGGCTACTAGAATAAAGTAACACTAGTGAAAGGTTAAGGACATTAGAGAGAACCACTTGCCTGTTTTTGAAGGGTCCCTGGGAAAGGAAGGGGCCATTTAGCTAACCTGAACTTCGTTGTTTTTCACTTCATGTTTTAATATACGGATAAAGGTCAGCTATTATACCCCTTATCTTTGAAGTGTGCTTCAAATCATTACTGGGGCAAGGTAGAGGGCTCCTAGGACTATCATTTCCTGCTATCAGAATGGAGCTGTAGTGGTACCACCAAGTGGTGCCATAGGTGGGGGACGTATTTCAAGCATTCATTTTGAAAGCATCTTTGCCTACTAGAACAAAGTAACACTAGTGAAAGGTTAAGGACATTAGAGAGAACCACTTGCCATTTTTTGAAGGGTCCCTGGGAAAGGAAGGGGCCAGTTAGCTAACCTGAACTTTATTGTTTTTCACTTCATGTTTTAATATACGGATAAAGGTCAGTTATTATACCCCTTATCTTTGAAGTGTGCTTCAAATCATTACTGGGGCAAGGTAGAGGGCCCCTAGGACTATCATTTCCCGCTATCAGAATGGGGCTGTAGTGGTACCACCAAGTGGTGCCAAGGGTGGGGGACGTATTTCAAGCATTCATTTTGAAAGCATCTTTGCCTACTAGAACAAAGTAACACTAGTGAAAGGTTAAGGACCTTAGGGAGAACCACTTGCTAGGTTTTTGAAGAATCCGTGAGAAGAAAAAGGGTCAGTTAGCTAACCTGAACTTTATTGTTTTTCACTTTGTGTTTTAATATACAGGTTAAAGGTCAACTAATATACCCCTTATCTTTGAAGTGTGCTTCAAATCATTACTGGGGCAAGGTAGAGGGCCCCTAGGACTATCATTTTCCGCTATCAGAAAGGGGCTATAGTGGTACCACCAATTGGTGCCATGGGTGGGGGGCGTATTTCAAGCATTCATTTTGAAAGCATCTTTGGCTACTAGAACAAAGTAACACTAGTGAAAGGTTAAGGACCTTAGGGAGAACCACTTGCTAGGTTTTTGAAGAATCCGTGAGAAGAAAAAGGGTCAGTTAGCTAACCTGAACTTTATTGTTTTTCACTTTGTGTTTTAATATACAGGTTAAAGGTCAGCTAATATACCCCTTATCTTTGAAGTGTGCTTCAAATCATTACTGGGGCAAGGTAGAGGGCCCCTAGGACTATCATTTTCCGCTATCAGAATGGGGCTATAGTGGTACCACCAATTGGTGCCATGGGTGGGGGGCGTATTTCAAACTTTCATTTTCAAATCACCTTAGGTCCATGGAAGAAACTAATACTGGTTGAGGATCATTGAAAAATGTTATCGGATTCTCTCGGTCTTGATGGGGGCCAGTTAAACTTTGTCGTTTATTTACATTGAATATTGAAACACGGATAAAGATCAGTTATTATAAGCCTTTTTTTTGGAAGTGGATATGCATCATACCGTTAGTAGGGCATAGTAAGTGGCGTATCGGGCTATCATTTGCCGATCTCAGATTAAGACTTTATTGGAACCACCTAGTTGTG